ACACTAATGGCCCTCACACTTTCAGACATCATAAATACATAATTTGATCTCTTTCAGCATAAACAATGGTTGCATTGTTGAGTCATGCTGTGTAGCATATGCACCAATGCACTTGTTCATTAGCAAGGCACGGTAGCCAATCTCCAGTTATACTTAACTCTCTAATTCAGCTAAACAGAATGTGATTTGGTTTAGCATTGCATCTACTCTTAGTCATCTGTTTTAACATAGTTGTGTAGCTTAGCGTCATGGCATCTAAATAGCAGTAGCATCTAAATTCCTGTAGTCACATTAGTTATTGACCTAATATCTGGTTTACACAGATAATATTTTTAATGTATAATACATTACCGTTCAGAAGTTTTGGGGTCAGTAAGATGTTTTTTTTTTAAAGAATGGAATATTAAGCAAGGATGTAATAAATTTATTTAAAGTGACAGTAAAGACATTTACATGTGGCAAAATGTTACAAAATCTTTTTTTTACAAAACTCTTATTTTTATTTATCAAAGAATCATATATCAATACTAAAGTATTAGCAGCAGAACTGTTTTCAACATTGATAATAATAAGAATCAGCATATTAGAATAATTTCTATAAGATCATGTGACAGAACTGGGGTAATGGCTGTTGAAAATTATGTTTTGCCATCACAGTAATAAATTATATTTTAAATTATATTAAAATAGAAAACAGTTATTTTCATAATAATAATAATAATAATAAGTTTTTACTGTATTTTTGATCAAATAAATGCAGCCTTGTTGAGCATAAGAGAGTTTAAAAAATCTTATCAACCTCAAAATCTTAAATGTTCGCATATATTTAAAATATGAATCATTCTTAGATGCTTACAGTGTGTTTAGTATCACATTACATAAGAGCTTAGGATCTCTTTGATTATAATGCACACTAATCATATTTCTAAGAATGAGAGTGATCTAATTTTGTTGCAGTGCTGTTGTTTGCAGTATATACATGGTCAAATCAGTGCACTAAAGCACTAAAAAACTTTCCACAGCTGTTAGCTTGATATTTTTATAGGCTGGAGAAGACTTCATCTCAGAGTATGCAGCTAACAATGCTAAGGTCACAGGTTAGATTGCCTGGGAATGCATGTGCTGATGAAAATGTATAAGTTTGCATTGTTTAAAGTTGTTTTGGACTAGAAGTATCTGCCAAATGCAAAAAAAAAAAAATTGGAAAGAGACCAATAGACAGAGCTGTTTTCAGCATGCTGTAGTGAGGTGAAACAGTAGTACAGAGCTGTTGTTTGCCGGAGGTTTTATAATGGAAGTACAGCCATTGAGGAATCCCACCATAGAGGGAACTCTGGGAGGCTTGTGTGTTGTGGGTGATTAAAGCTTTTGAAAGTTTGAATAGCGGAAAATAACCTGTCTCAGGTGGGTTTGAACCAAAGAATCTGATTGGTGCTAATGAAATATATCTAGCAGCGGAGGCCGATGGGTTTTTGCCTGGGACAAAAAAAAAAACCTGCTGGAATGAAAACCAATTTTAATTTTCACTCAAAATTAGCTTTTTCCAAGTTAATAGAAATTGATCATGTGGATTCTCCCAGATAAGATATCCTAGTTCAAAAGGTATTTCTGTCAATTTTGTGCTGCCAAAATTGAGTAAAACCACTCCCGATCTTGCCAACAGTGACTTTGCTTGTGATGCCCTGGGAGTGACCTCACCCCATCTCACAGCTTTAAGTTGCTGTGACTCCATGGGACAGGGTCCTGCTCGTATCTCAGTTCTGTTTCTGTCTGCCTGCCTGCTGTGTTTCAATGATGACTGCATGAGAGACAGAGGAAGATAGAGTATCAACTCCCCGTGAGACATACAATTCGGTCTGAAAGTTGGAAGAAGCTTGTCACTTGTGAGGGTGATTGTGTTATTGTGTGTGTGTGTGTGTGTCTTCCAACAAAATGTACTTTCAAAAAATATTTGGATTTTTTAGAATCTCAATGTTGTTGCATTAGACATCCAAAAATCTAATCAAAATAGCACATGCACACTTTTCACAAAATTGGTGCACTGCAAAAACCCTTTCTGATTGCAAAATATGTTCATACTGTAATGAGGTGAGCACCACATGTGGTTACTCTGATAAGAATGTGAAATCTTTCATATTATTTAAAATCAGCAAGTCTGTGTTTTTTTTTTTGTATTTTTCACGTACAGACGACAACGTTTACAAGATAGTGATATCATTTTGAAACCCATTTTCAAAAGTTTGCTTTTCAGGCCCCCAAAACAGAATTGTCGTCTAAATGAACAATAAAGATTTTCAAAAAATTTCAAAAAAAATTCTAAAATTGTCTTACTTTGTGGGATATTTGTTATCATTGTCATACTTCAAAAAAAAAAACAATTAATGATGAATTGTGTTCTTTATTGGTTAGAAAAATAGCTGCATAGCATAAAAACACAAGGTCTTTATGTTTTTGGAAAGAAATTAATACATTTTATTCAGCAAGGATGCATTAAATTGTGAAAATGACTGCAAAGATTTCAATTTTAAATGCATGCTGTTCAATTTTAAATGCAAGCTATTCACCAAAAAAATCCTGAAAAAAAGCAACATGGTTTCCACAACAACAACAAAAATAGTAAGCAGCACAACTGTTTTCAACGATGATAAAAATAAGAATGGTTTCTTGAGCAGCAAATCAGCATATTAGAATGATTTCTGAAGGACTGTATGATACTGAAGACTGGAATATTGATGCTGAAAATTCAGCTGTGCATCACAAGAATAAATTACATTTTACAATATAATAAAATAGAAAACAGCTATTTTATAACACTCACGGTATACTGTTTTTACTGCATTTTTGATCAAATAGCCTTGGTGAGCATGAGATTTCAAAAACATTAAAAATCGTGCCAAAGTTCTAAATGCTAGAGTGTAAATCAAATCAATATATAATCTTCTTCATAAGGATATGAAAAAATAATATAATATAATGGATATGGATCTGCATTTCTGGTAACATGGTTCACACTATCTTCCGGTAGAAAGGTAGAGTAAATGTACCACTCTTCAGAGTTAAAAGCTTCATATTTTCCTTGTTTTTCCATTTTCTCCCCCAAAAATGTCAGTTCAGACAGAGAACAACACAACAACTAAAAAAAAAATATTTCTCTCATCGCCTCAGTTCAAAGCGATTATTCCCACATCTAAAGTCTTTAATCAGCATGCCATCCATCAGAATCCTGATTAGCCAGGAAATCTCTGTAGGACAGGCCTCTGCGGTTAAAGTTTTACCTGAACCCCCTGCCTCCTAGAAAATTGATATTTGAGTAAGGAGGATGAGCGCACGAGCAGTAATTAGCACGCTGTGAGGATTGACAGTCTAATGATCAAATGTGTGTTCGGCTTTGACTGGAGGGGTTTGGCTGACCTCGGTGCTCATACAGTACTGATGTCACCCCATAAGGCTCTGTCACATGGTTATTGTCTGCTCCGTTGTGCATTAGGTGGCATTTGCAGGATGGCAGGTCTCTTTGGTGACCTCACCAGTGGTGTGATGAGGAGAACATGGTCTTTGACATCCCCTGAGGAGCAGCAGCAATGATGTCAGACTTTCACTGTGTGTTTGAAGCATCTGCTCCCTCTGCCTTTCCTCTCTCTGTTCCCATCGCTTCTTTTTCTTTCTGTCCCCTCATTTCTAATAGGGGATAATGGAAGCAGTTGTAACAAGTGGTAATTTTTTGCTGCCATTGAATTGAAACATTTACCACTAGGTTGTCAGGTAAAACTTAACATGAGTGATCACAAAGGATTTTTTCATGGCTGTGAGGTCGGAAACAACTGAAAAACTAGTCACATAGGCACATATAGAATTATTACTATACTAAGGAAAACAGTGTTCAGTAGTGTTAAAACTGATATTATTACTCTGAATTATGGCTTTGTTATATGTTCTTTTTTAAAATACATTTTTGGGATCTGTACATTTTTTTCATAGTTTTATAGGAATAGTTTAGGTATAGTTACTCAAAAATGACAAGTTTATTTTAAAGCTGTGATTTTTCTAACTTGCACTATTTATTATTATATTATATTATATTATATTATATTATATTATATTATATTATATTATATTATATTATATTATATTATATTATATTATATTATATTATATTATATTATATATATTATATTATATTATAGTATATTATAGTATATATAAAAGTTTGGGTTCAGGAAGATGTTTTAATGTTTTTAAAATAATTATTTTATGCTTACCAAGGCTTTAATCAAAAATACAATAAAACACTAATATTGTAAACATATTAAAATGACAATATATTTGAAACATAAATATTTTATAACATTATACATGTTTTTATGGTCACTTTTGATCAATTTATTGCACCCTTATTTATTCTTTTTTTTTTTTTTTATATTATATTAAACACTAAAAGTTTCGGTTCAGGAAGATTTTTTAAAATATTTTTGAAAGTCTTAGGAAGTAACGTAACAGTAAAAACACTAATATTGTGAAAATATTAAAATAACATTTATTTGTTTATTTGAAACAAAAAGTATTGTATAACATTATAAATATATTCACTGTCATTTTTTATCAATTTAATGTATTTTTTCTTTTCAAATAATTCTTACTGACCCCAAACTTTTAAATGTTCTATTCTATTCTATTCTATTCTATACACTGTTCCAAAAGAGATGGATTTGCAGTAGCCTGTTAGAATCACTCCCTATTTTCATATTCTTAGCAGGTAGCAAAATCCACATTTTTGTCATTTTTTCCCCTCCAGTTCATTTCTTTTGACAGCGCCGTTCTAAAATGATTAAAGATGATTATCCTTCTTGTGTGGCTGAATCCACATGTACAGTATTTCTGTGCTAAAGTGAGATGAATAGCGACTCATCATTGTGCCTGTTTTGGGCTTTAATAGACAGTGATTACAATAGTAATATAATTCACTTCATATCCTGTCTGCCTCTCCTTTTCTTTTCCTCTAGGTGTATGGGGTGTATGTGTGGCCAATGATTGCGGTTCGGCTGGGCTCCAGAGTCGCTCGGTGTGGTGTGTCCATTCTGAAGGCTGGAGCACGCATCAGTCCAATTGCTTTCCATCTGATCGCCCACCGCACCAGAGAGTGTGTGTGAAGATGTGCGAGTGGCAAAAGGATCTGTTTGAGTGGCGCTTGTCTCCTTGGGGCCCCTGCACCCTGAGTCCTCTCCTCCCAGCCAGTCGATGTGTGACCGCTCAGCGTGGAGTACAAAGCCGAGATGTGGTGTGTGTGAAGCGTACCAATGGCACCACAGTGAGCCAGCATGTGTGTGAAGCATTTTCTGCAGTGCCGGAAGGAGAACAGGCATGTTTGTTACCCTGCCCAATCGACTGCGTCGTCTCCGCCTTCACCCACTGGTCCACCTGCAGTCGCACCTGTGGGTCGGCCCTCCAGCAGCGCACCAGACATGTGCTGGCAGCGCCCCTGTATGGAGGAGCAGACTGTCCCAGCCTCACCCAGACACGTCCCTGTAACCATGAGAAAGCCCACCCTGCCCTTTGTCCCTCCGACCAGCAGGAATACAGTTATAGTTTATGGGTGGGGCCCTGGAGCCCTTGCAGGCTTAAAGGGACAGCGCCTGTTGGAAAAACGACAGTGGACTTTGGTTTTGGGCTTGAAGGGAAAAAAACAGTCAAAGCTTCATACACCATCAAACACTATGCTGAGATTAATTACCATCAAAATCATTATGATGAAAGAGGCCACAAAGTATCCTGGGAAATCACCATTGGCTATCAGACTCGGCAACTGCGCTGTACGAGGAGTGATGGGAAGAATGCCATGCTAAGGTGATAATTCTATGAATGTACAAATGAGTGGGCGAATGATTAAGTTTTTTAATTCATCCATTTATTAACCCATCTACTAATCAATCTAATGCCCATCCATCCACACATCCATCAATCCACAGATTGATCAGTCAGTGCATCAATTAATTTAATATATTAATTTAATTAATTTTTTAATTTAATTTAATTTTTTATACTTTTTTTATGAATTTAAATGTTCTATACTTTTACATTTTTTATTTAATTTTATGAATTTTTATTTTATTTGTTATATTTATATTTCATTTAGATTTTGTAATTTTAATTTAATATTTAGTTTTTTTATTTTATATATGTTTTCATATTTTTATTTTATATTTATGTTATCTGATTTCTATATTTTATTTTGATAGTTTATGCATTATTTTTATACATTATTTTGTTTATGTTGTAGTTTAATTTAGTTTACTCAGGCCCAGACAGGGTGATCCGGAACCCATGGCTACTTACCGGGAAAAAAAAAAATCTAAAATATTGATTTCAGTTTAAATTGTTTTATTGTAAGAAAATGTTTTATGTAAGAAAAAAAACATTGTGAAGTGATACAAGAGACATGAAACTAGCACAACTATGAAAGAAATTGGCCGATTATACAGTTTAGCATTTTACAAAAATACAAAAATTCCACAGACTGCTGCAATTAGTCAGAATGAACAGAGAGTTGTGTAATAAAAGCTTTTAAAAAACGAATGTAGATGTATTCAGAAACGACTGTGGTCAAATAGAGCTGCAATGAGGACTCATTACTGATCTGACCATGAATAAATGATACAGGCCTATTATCAGACAGTTATGCAACAATGTTATGCAATACATTTACTTGTTTTATTAAATGCCTCTCCACAGTGAGGATATTAGAGTCTTCTGTTTTAAGCACTGCCATCCGGCGAGTGCAGATGGATTTCCGTTTTACCATATGATGCTGTTTGCATCAAAGAACATGCTGGTATTTATGTATGCGTTACTGATTACACTGTCAAATAACAGAATCTAAATTTTACCTTCTGTTGTGGGTGAGACAGAAAAGAGAGAAGACTTTCCACCTTTTCTTTTTCCAGCTGAGGGAAGATCCCAAGCCGGCTTCTTTTTATTAATTTTTCATTAGATATTAATGGAAATAGTACTTGTTGCTCCTAGAAAACTACAATAATAAGCTCCAGAGAGAGCGCAGGACTGCCGTGTGTTGTAGTGAATATGAAAAATGAAGAAACGGTTCTGAAAATATCCACATCCTGTCGAGCATGCTATAGGACAGCGGTAATCCAGTGAGACAAGTAAGCTATGCGTTTTGATTTGCTGCACATATTTTCAAGTTCTGTGTATTTATATTTGATTTAATCATAGTTCTTAGCACCCATTGAGAGCCATCTATTGACAAAATGTCTAAAGCTCAAGGGGGAAAGAAAAGGTGGTCTGACTGAACCAACTTTGTGAAGATGTGGAAAAGTTGCTTTTTGTTAAGAAATAAAATCTTAACAAATTCAGCACTTAAGATAAGCATATTACAGGGCACCTATTATGCCCCTTTTTACAATATAAGTCTCAGGTGTCCCCAGAATGTGCTTGTGAAGTTTCTGCTCAAAAACCTCCACAGATGATTTATTATATCATTTTGAAAATGGCTATTTTGAGTGGAAGCAGAAACAGGCTGTTTTTGTGCATGTCTCTTTATATGCAAATGAGCTGCTGCTCCCCGCCCCCTTTTCCAGAGTAGGGCTGTGCCTTTACAGCTCATACCTCAGATACTCTTCTAAAAACATCTATTTGGTTTTGATTATCATATCTATTGTGCTGAAATCATGTGTTTTAAACCATATTAGTTTAAACTTCTGATACACGGTTTTCTGAGCGCACTCATCCAAAGCAAAATTCTCTGTCACACTAAGTCTTCTTTTATGTCTTATTGCGCTTAAACTGTCAAATACTCACAAGTTTATGTTAAAAACACGTAAGTTACAAAAACACAGTCAGTTATGACTGTGAAGGTAAACAGCTGGGAAAGAAACTGCATGTTTATATTAGATATGTGTATTAAGTGACAGAAGCGTAATATACTGTAATACAGTATTTGTGGGGATTAAAAAAAGCAGCGGGTGGATTTTTATCATTATAGGGTGGTTGTGTACACACACTGCCAACACATTTATGTTTAAACAACATTTAAAAGTGAATGTTGCATAATAAGTGCCCTTTAAGGTTTAAAAATGTCCATATAAATCTGAATTCAAATATCCCACCTGAGTGGGATGTGTTTTAATTCCCATCACCAAGTGAAATTTTTTAGTGTTTTCTCACTCATTATCCCAGTGAAACACTGCAGTATTATTCAATCTAATTCTTTGCTTTCTATTTTATGACTAATACCTTTATAATAGTATACTGAAGATTAGCACTTTGTGGTCCCCTATTTAACTAATCCACTAATGTTTTTTCAGTGTCAGTGTCAACTCTAAAACTAGCACATTTGCAATCAATACTCTGCAAGAGATGTTTTGTTGTCTATGCAGCAAGCATCAATAGTGTTACCAACAATAAGATGCTAATACCAGTCTTTATTTGTCTACATAATAAATTAACATAATTTTATGTCTTCAGATTATGAGATTCCCCTTGCGGTTTGCAAACTTTTTCGCATTCGTATTAAGCCAGACTAAACTTCTGAATAAATTGAACACCCACGGACCACCTCATCTCTCACTCTCTCTCTCGCAGGATTTCATAGTTTGCTTTCGCTTGTTTTGTATGCCAATATATTCAGCGAGAATCAGCAGCAACACTAAAGCCTTGGAGAGTTCGAGAGACAGCTTGAAAAATGTTCTGTTTATGTTGCTACCTTTTTTGTCATACTAGCCAGAGGCTAAATGGATGCCAGCAGCTCCAGAACAGGCAGATTAAGCCTTTTTTTAAGTTAAGATAATACATAAACATGAAATCCTTTGAAAGTAACTAAACAGTAACTGTTAATGTAATTTTTAGAATTGTAATCTGTTTTTTTTATATATATATCAAAGATGGATAGAGGAGAGCTCAACCTGCCAGTTAACCCAGTAAAGGGCAGCAGAGGGCCACAAAATACAGTATCAATCATCTTTTTACAGCAATACAATTCTTAATTTTACAATGTCATAAAATGCGGTAAAAAAAGATGACACTGTAAATTTCCTTCTCACCCCCAGTCTTTGCGACCATGACAACAGCCTAGTGAACTTTCGTTCATGCGTGATGCCCAGAGACTGTAAAGTGTCTGATTGGTCACAGTGGAGTCCATGTTCAAAGACGTGTCGGACATCTGACCAATCGCCTGGCTTCAGAATCAGGAGCCGCAGCCTGCAGAGAGCAGCCATTGGTGGAGGAGAGCCATGCCCCGCCCTGGAGGAAAAAGCTAACTGTAATGTTTTGGAAGACACTCTGCCACTGTGCCCAAGGTAAAGAGACAGCATTGCCAGAATTGTGCATCCAAATCTTTTCAAATGTTGTAGTTCTTAAACTCAACATTAAAAAAATTATTCACCATGATTTTGTGAATGATTACTCCATGCCTATGTTTAATTTCTTTTAAAAAATTGACCACATAACTTTTAATCAAATGTTACTCTACATTTTATTTTTTTTTGATAATCCGTTTAGCTTGGAGTTATGTTACAATATAGAAGAAAAGATATGTTGCTGCTTCAGTTTAATTGTGACTTTGAAAAGACTGAATAGATGACTCTTTAATTTGACTTCAAATTAATGTATTTTAATTGGCTGGAAATACAGGTTTGAGTGGAGGGTGACCAATTGGAAACCATGCCAGGTGACCCCACTTTTGAGTCAGCAGGACCATCGCCATAACAATAGCAGCATTCTGTGTGGACGTGGGATCCGGACCCGAGAGGCATATTGTGTCAGGATCCATGACAACACAGTACCATCCCAAAGTAAGAACTCTGTTTTTAGAGTCAGCTATGGATTATTAACATAGAAATACCATTGAGTTATGTTTTCAGATTACATTTAGTTTTTGTACAATGGTAGTATCACAGTATTATTTGATATCAGCCTATTCTTGAGCGAAGATGACTAGGTAGCATCACACGTGCACTACTTTTTTATTATATATTTCAAATATTTTTTTTTTCTTTTTAAAACATATCAAAGTTTCCACAAAACTATTAAGCAGCACATTGATAACAATACACAATGTATTTTGTAAATCAGCATATTAGAATGATTTCTGAAGGATCATGTGACACTGAAGACTGGAGTAATGATATTGAAAATTTTAATTGAATGAATTACAATTTGAAATATATTAACATAGAACAACAATTATTTTAAATTGTAATAATATTTCACAATATTGCTGTTTTACTGTATTTTTTAAACAAATGCAGCCTTAATGAGAAAAAACATTCAAGAATCTTACAGACGCCATACTTTTTAATGTTTTACTGTATCATTCACAAAGAAGTCGATTCTAGTATGCATTGAAATAAGCTCAGTGGCAAACAAAGTCAAGTTTAGTTGTTTAGACGTATGCGTCATTCAGTACAAAAGTGTATTGATAAAAAGGTTTCAACCTAATTGCAAAATTCTCCCTAGTAATTGTGTGTATTATATAATTTTATGCTTATTAGAGTATTGTGTTGATAGCTTAGCAACAAGAAGAGTGTACATTTGTGGCCTATGAAGTATGATCCAAGTCATTTATAAGATTCCATTTCAATGAGGATGATTTTTTGGTTTTGGATCATAGCACTAATAATATGTCCTTCTCACGTTACAATAAGCAAATGTTGTGGGGCAAAAAGATTTTCTAGATTGATTTCATTTTATTTAATCCTTCATTGGCTGTTGAGTCTCAGGGCACAAGGCTAAGGGGGAGATTTAGTTTCCTCTGCATTTCAATTTTTTTATTTAAATGGTAATCTGTGGCCACACAGTGAGAAAGACGGATTTGAATTACATTTATTTTTGTGCAAGCTTCTGTTAGATCTTTAAAAATGCATTTCATACAGTTTTGAAAATAAACCACTTTTTATGGTAAATCTCTCTCTGTTTTTTATTATTAGTCAATCGGCCTGTTGGCAGGAACTTGTGCACTGGGCCTTTACCGCTATTGGCTGAGTCTTGCTTCATTCCCTGTCAGAAACATTGTCCCCTCACGCCTTGGTCACCCTGGGGACCCTGTCTCCATGACAACTGTTTGGAACCTCAAGGAAGAAGAGGTGAGAGACGAAAACATCCCATCAAACCAGATCGCACACATCCAAATCTAAATCACACACATTTAGATTCACACCCTCTGTCCTTGGTTTCTTCTCTCGTTAATGTAAATCATGTGTGAATATCAGATGTGGCGTATTTCTGACCCTAAGCTGTGGTGCCGCGACAGTGAGGCGACAGTGACAGGACAGCTGTATTCCTCTATTTAGACTCGCTATAAACGACTTTTTCTTTATATTCCGTTTTCTATTTCTTCTCTCTATCCCTTAATGTGCATATATATTTGGCCACGATATTTGACTGTTGCGCTGCTTATTTTGCCAGAGTGTGGGAACAGTATCTGCAAAAATGTTGGCATTGAGAATGTTTCTGTTTGAGTCATCGCTTCTTTTCCTTTGTTAATTTGCATGCGTACACCTCACCTACAGGTTTCAGGGTGAGAGCTCGTTCTGTAATTAATGAGTCTTGGGTGGAGTCTGACAGTTGCCCTCACGTCAGCGAAGCGATGACCTGCGATGACCCCGTCTGCTTCCAGTGGCGAGTGACATCACAGGGGCCCTGTGTTTCGCAAAATGGATCGTGTGGTCCAGGATTCCAAGAACAGACTCTGGAGTGTTTGATCGCCACAGGTATGCAGCTCAATGTTTCCTTTTTCCTCTTTTTTTTTTTTTATTAGAACAGTTGATCTAAAACTGAAAAGTCTGTCATTAACTTCTTACCGTCATGTCATTCCAAACCTGTAGACTTACTTTCGTTCATGGAACACAAAAGGAGTCATTTTGTAGAATGTCCAATATGCTCTTTTCCATACAAAGAAACTAAAAAAAGCACCCTAAAAGCGTCTCGCAGTCCATATGATTTGTATATTTCAAATCATATGTGGGAACCCTAATGGTTAGAGAGTCAGACTCGTAACCCAAAGGTTGCGGGTTCGAGTCTCGTACTGGCAGGCATTGTAGGTGGGGGGAGTGAATGTACAGCGCTCTCTCCCACCTTCAATACCACGACTGAGGTGCCCTTGAGCAAGGCACCGAACCCCCAACTGCTCCCCGGGTGCCGCAGCATAAATGGCTGCCCACTGCTCCGGGTGTGTGTTCACGGTGTGTGTGTTCACTGCTGTGTGTGTGCACTTTGGATGGGATAAATGCAGAGCACTAATTCCGAGTATGGGTCACCATACTTGGCCACATGTCACGTCAAATGTTATGTTGCCATGCTTTTAAACCTAAATATTGTAACAATATGTACATACAATCTTTTTTGCATTGTATATGCTAAAATCAGTATTTTTACAGCTCCTATACAAATAAATAAATGACCTGATTGATTATGAAAGGACCAATGACGTTTGATGTAACTGACATCATTTCTGGTGTGCTGAGTCTTGAGATGCCATATTTGAATGTATGCAAATGAGAATGTTTTCAGGAAGTAGCAAAACAATTTTATGGCTTCAGAAGAATATAGTGAGGCAAATGTGCTACTTTTATGCTTTATGGGCTGTACTTGTATAGTGTTTGTTGTCATTTTTGGAGCCTAACATCCCCCATCCTACACTACCCATTAGAGTTTTGGTGCAAATAAGATTTTTTGTTGTTATTGTTGATGTTGTTCTTTGCTTTTACTCAGCAAGGAACCATTAAATTGTTCAAAAGTGGCAGTAAACACATTTCTAATCTTACAACATTTATTTTTCAAATAAATGTTGTTCTTTTGAACTTTCTATTTAGATTAAAGAATCTTGAAAAGCTGTTTACAACATTGATAATGTTTCTTGAACAGCAAATCAGCCTAACAGAATGATTTCTGAAGGATCATGTGACACTGAAGACTGGAGTAATGATGCTGAAAATTCAGCTTTGCATCACAGGAATAAATTGCATTTAAAAAATATATTAAAATACAAAACATTTATTTTAAATTGTGTTAATATTTCACAATATTGCTGTTTTTACTGTATTTTTTGATACTTGGCCACATGTCACGTCAAATGTTATGTTGCCATGCTTTTAAACCTAAATATTGTAACAATATGTACATACAATCTTTTTTGCATTGTATATGCTAAAATCAGTATTTTTACAGCTCCTATACAAATAAATAAATGACCTGATTGATTATGAAAGGACCAATGACGTTTGATGTAACTGACATCATTTCTGGTGTGCTGAGTCTTGAGATGCCATATTTGAATGTATGCAAATGAGAATGTTTTCAGGAAGTAGCAAAACAATTTTATGGCTTCAGAAGAATATAGTGAGGCAAATGTGCTACTTTTATGCTTTATGGGCTGTACTTGTATAGTGTTTGTTGTCATTTTTGGAGCCTAACATCCCCCATCCTACACTACCCATTAGAGTTTTGGTGCAAATAAGATTTTTTGTTGTTATTGTTGATGTTGTTCTTTGCTTTTACTCAGCAAGGAACCATTAAATTGTTCAAAAGTGGCAGTAAACACATTTCTAATCTTACAACATTTATTTTTCAAATAAATGTTGTTCTTTTGAACTTTCTATTTAGATTAAAGAATCTTGAAAAGCTGTTTACAACATTGATAATGTTTCTTGAACAGCAAATCAGCCTAACAGAATGATTTCTGAAGGATCATGTGACACTGAAGACTGGAGTAATGATGCTGAAAATTCAGCTTTGCATCACAGGAATAAATTGCATTTAAAAAATATATTAAAATACAAAACATTTATTTTAAATTGTGTTAATATTTCACAATATTGCTGTTTTTACTGTATTTTTTAACAAATCAACATGTAGCCTTAAACTTATTTTAAAAACATTAAAAAAATCTTACTGACCCCAAACATAGGCATTGTAGACATTTTGCAAAAAATCTCCAGATAAATCATTCTGAAAAACTGCATGAAGGTAATTAAATAAGGACAGCATTTAAAGAACTTTCCCTTTAATTATCTTTCTCAATCACATCATTCTTCACCTTCATCCCTCTAATTACTTTCAACCTTCTGTTATCCCCATCCTCAAACTCTTCAGCGATTAGTTATTTTTACTCACATAAGCAAATGATCAGCTGTCTTTTAATCTCCTCTCCTCCCGGCGGGTATGTGGCATATTTCTTATCTGTCTTCTGTGCTTCTTATTGAGATGAGTTTGAGATGCAGTTTTGACACACAAGGTTCTCTAAGGTCTTTCATTGTAATGTCACTCATTCACATTAAGTGCCCGCATGTGTGTTGTCCAACAGTAGTAAGTATATAAGTGGTCTTAAGGGGTTTACAACTGTATGTGAAATATTTCCGTTTGTGGCTAGGCAGTCGCCAGGCATGGCTGGATGCAGAGTTGGATGCAACTTTACTTCACAACATTCCAAAGTATAATATTGTACTTTGTACTGCACTACGTTTCATATTAAATATCATTTAATACTTAATTACATTAGAAATCTATTACTTTCTTACTTTTACTCAAGTAAAAGTAATTCAAAGATTTACTTGAGTACAAGAAAGTACTAAATTGTTTATGTTCTTAAGTGTTAAAGGTAAAACAAACAACTTTTATTTATGAAAGGAAGTGCAGTAAAAAGTATGACATTATGCTTTGGAATGCAGTGAAGTAAAGTTTTCCAAAGAAAAACACTCTGATAAACTACAGATACTTTTTAAATTTACTTGAGTAAAGTAAAAATACTTCACTACTATCCGCCTCTGGCTGGATGCGGTGGAGCTGGAATTTTACATCCGACACACACATATCTGCATTAAACCTGACAGCATCATCTTCCCAGCATGCACTTGAAAATGCACAAAGTTTCCTGTAAGTGGTAGGTTTAAGGGTAGGGTTGGTGTAGGGCTAAATAGCACATACAGTTTGTACAGTATAAAAATGATTACGCCTATGGAATGTCCCCATAAAGCATGGAAACACAACGTGTGTGTGTGTGTGAGAGAGAGTGTGAGAGCGTGAGAGTATGAGAGTGTGTGAGTGTGTGAGTGTGTGAGTGTGTGAGTGTGTGAGTGTGTGAGTGTGAGAGTGTGAGAGTGAGTGTGTGTGTGAGTGAGTGAGTGAGTGTGTGAGTGAATTAATGAATTAATGAATTAATGAATGAATTAATGATGAATAAATGAATGGTGCATTTATATAGCGCTTTATTGTGTAATCACATTACTATGCATTTGCTATTAAATTTTGAATGGTTGCTATAGGAAATAGCTTATTGGTCTTAGCAAAAAGCTCAAAGTGTAGTTTTTGCAATGGCCAGACATGGTTCATAGCTTCATTTACAAAAGTTATCCCTCCAGTTTCTGTGATCTGACTGCAAGTTCGATGTTTATGAAGTAGCATGCTATTGAATTCTGCTGTCTATCAGCAGTCCTGCAGTTCTGCCCTGCTATAATGCACTTTTTAAGGCTCTAGGTAGATAATCACTCTGGGAAATTGCTTCTTCTAACAGTACAAATAGGTGAAAAAATCTCCCTGTCTGCCATGTGAAAAGAAAATGAAATAAACCCTTATAACGCAACAGGAAAGTGGTGATTACAGGGGTCATAAAAATACATATTAAGAGCTGTGCATCTTCAGATGAGACAGTCTCTTTAAAAAAGAGCTCTGTTTGTGCATTTATATCTTAGGCAACGAATACAATTCAGAGAGATTGATTTTTAAGGCCTAACATCAATTGGAGAAACGTTGCCCTTCCTGCATCTGAGATGTAATGAAGAAATGAACTATTGCGGCTCAATATCTGATTCTCAGAGGAGAGTCTGTCCAGACCAGTTAGGATTATTACTTGCCTTTTATATTTGTTCTTTTATCTCACAAACAACCTCAAGAGCATGTTCTACTAGTTGATTCTCTGCTTGCGTATATGTGTCCATTGTTCTTTGCAATCTCACAAATAAAAAGATCTGTGAGATTGTTTTGTATATGCAAGTTAATCTTTCCTCACTGAGTTAGAACTTTTTTAGAACTTTTTTTTCTTGTTCAAAACATTTACTCAAATAAATGTGGTTAAAATTATGCTCATTACAAGACAAAGCTGAGCCTACTTTTTTATAATTATGCCTTGGACTGATTTTTCTCCATTTTAAGCATAAAACTAACAACATTTAGTGAGATTAATGTTTAAAAAATAAGAAATCGCAGCTGAAATGTTCTTTCCTTCTTATGAAATTAACACTGAAATGTTCTTTCCCTCTTGGTATTTATTTTTATTTATTTATTTATTTTGCAGTGAAGCAGTTAGGACTCTTGAGAGTATTTTCCATAGTGAACTGAGTGAAGTTTAGCGCTAATGTTTTACTGCACCCTTAATTATCAGATAATTATTTTCAAGCTGTCTTTTCATTTAAAAAGTGCCTTAATGTTGTCCAATCGTGGTCTTTGAGAAAAGAATAGAGCAATCAGAGTGCTATTAAACATCTTATTTGCATATTATTCTACTTTAATTAAAGAAAAGTGATTGTTAGGTGCATGATAAGAGGAAACCGGAATTTTCCTGTGCTTAAAACAAGCCATGATCATTATTTCAATGTTCTTATTTTGTTTCTTGGCAGTAAATTTAATTGCATATTTCCTTTGGTTGTATTCGAAGAAGATGTTAATTAAATATACTTGTTTATAGAGAAAGAATAAGTGTTATTCAAAAAAGAAACTGTGAAAAGATGTATGCAGTATTATTCAGTATAAAACATTATACAGTATGTCGATATAAAAAAATAAATAAATAAATAAACACTGAGAAAAGGGACTTTTTTTTCCTGATTAGATGCATTTAACAGAAATATTTGCTTTCCTCTTTGCATTATAGGTGATCCAGTCCCTAATGATCAGTGTTCAGGAGATCCTCCTCCAATCCGGCAGACATGTGAGATGCCCTGTCCTTGGGACTGTGTACTGGGACACTGGAGCCGCTGGACTTCCTGTTCCCAGTCCTGCTCCAATAAACACCAAGAGGGAAAACAAAGTCGCTCACGTCTTGTTCTGGCTCTTCCTGGAAAGTGTGAGTTCGGATTGAACATTTGGTTCACAAGCATTTGGTTTGTGCAGCATACATAAGATACCAGGCCAAGTGATTAGGGCACAAGTTGAGCTCAGAATTTCATGCACATCACATTTTCATTATGGTAAAGATGATGATGATATGGTTATGTCTTGTCAAGTTTTGAGAACACTCAAAGAGGATAAATAATAAATACACAAAGCACAAATTATGAAAACGTCTTGGAAATGTAACACTTCCAGCTGTTGCAGAAAAACTGAGTACAGCAGCCCTCACATACTGGGCTTTATTAAAGCCCTTCTTTGAGACTTTTTCCATTTAATTATTCAAATGCCTCTTTTTAAACTGATTTGCCCTGAGTCCACATCTCTAATCCCTATTTTAAAACGATGTTCTATTAGTCTTTGTCCTGTCATCCCCTTCTTTTATGCTGGTCCCCATAAAGCAGGTCTTTCCCATGAATTATAGATTATTTCTTTATGACACATTCACCAGGGACATATCCTTTGTTTGACCCCTTAAACATATGGCCCTCCATCCTTAAATATGTGTGGGTGTGTGTATGCACGTTATTTATACATTTTGTTATATATCCTTTTTTTAAAGAAAAATTGAGCTCACACAGGCTGCATTTATTTGATCAAAAATACAGCAAAAACTGTTTTATTTAATTATATTACAATTGCAATAGTCATTGAAAATTTATATTTTTATATTTTATATATATAAAATATAATTTTATATAGTTTATATATTCACAGATTTTTTTTTAGCATTCGTTACCCTAGGCTTCAGTGTTACACGATCCTTCAGAAATCATTCTTGTATGCTAATTTGCTGCTGTGAATCACATATAATATTTTTTTCTGGATCCTTTGATGAATAGAAAGTTTAAAAGAACAGTGTTTGTATCACTTTTGAATAACTGAATGTCCTTGCTGAATAAAAGTAATATATATATATTTTTTAATCTTACTGACTTCCAAACTATGAATATGTATATAGACAGTGTGATATATGAATCTGTTGAATATGCACAGCTAATGATCAATATATATATACAGTATAATAATATTCTGGATGGCTAATAAATTATTCTATGATGCCATATTAAATCAATCTGCAGTATTTTTAGTGCATAGTAGTTATAAATAATTGCACAGTAGTTGTTGCTATATTGGCAGGTTTGGGATGTAAAAAAAATAAATTTTCTTCTGGTTATAGATGGAAAGCCATGCCCTCCGGCCCCTGAGCTTGAGCAGTGGGTTTGAAAACAGTTGTGCTGCTCAGTATTTTCCCCCTTTTTTTTAATGTATTTATTTTTTTTTATTGTATTTATTTATTTATTTTAAATTGTGATGCATTTTTTCCAAGATTCTTTAATGAAAGGAAGTTAAAAAACGACATTTATTTGAAATAGAAATATTTTGTTATGCTATAAATGTTATTACTTTCACCTTTGATCAATTTAATAAAACCATACATTTTGATTAATAGTGTACAACAAAGCTACATATAGATCATGATGTAAAAATCTGGTGTAAAAAACTTAATATCATCATCAGTAGCTTATAAGTGATTTGTTGTCATGTAAAATCCAAACTGTGTATACATAAATACAAACTGAACTTTAAATATGATTTTTATATTTTTTTGTTAGGAGAAACTAGAATATTCTTAAAAATTAGGAACAACAATTCATATAAAAAATAAATTAAGTTTTAAAAAGTACCCTTTAAAATGTTTAGAGCATTTTTTAAGATCCTGTCCTTTACGGAAAATACCCAAATGTAATCAAACATGTGATGTTAAACATGGTAATGTGTATCACTACTAGATGTGCCAATAAAATACAAAATGTTCATAAGGTATCACTGGATGTAAGCCAGACACTGCAACATGTTTTCTGTGCGCTGATGTTTCCTGGCAGATGGCAGACCCACCGCTGGCATCAGTGCATTCTGGTAGCTGATTCGGTGAGGCAGGCTGTGGGTGGGCCCGCAGAGGCATGCGGTATTGGCCTAGAGACAAGAGGTATGTGACAGATTAGGATCTCTGTATGATTTAAACTTTTATTAGGAAAGTTCTCCAAAACTGGGGTTACTGTAGGACGATAACTTATCTAAGAGATTCAGAGGGGCTTCTTTGCTGCCTGAAGGTTTATTTCCTTGCAATTTTCCCCATACTCATATTAGCAAACATGAGCAGAATGATTATCTATGTCAATTTTTGGTAAAATCAATCTTAAATTATTTAGTGGAACAATTTGCACAAGATGGTTTTACGAACGTTTTACACTCATTTGTTCTGCTCCTCATTGAGAACGAATGAGGCCCAGTATTTTACAGCAGGCTCCAAAATGTATTTGTACTAGGGATGTGCATCTCATGACTCAGGCCGATACGATATGCATCTCGATGCATAGCTAACGATACATTAAAGATACATATGAAGCAGCTACCGATCCGATGCGATGCGATATGATTCACCCCTGTTACGATTGCAGTGAGATCCGATTTTGGAATGGGGTATGAGTGGTTATGAACGAATGAATGAAACGCATTTGTCCATGTTTCACTCCGTCTCGAATTGCGCTCGCGGAAAGCGCTCGAGAAACAGTCTCTTTCGCTGCTCGGTACACTTTCAGCTCGTTTTTTAGTCTCGAGCAAGACTGTACAACGTTCACATTTCATGATTTGACAGATTTTTACATAGAAAGGGTGACAGCGCACCGCATTAAAAGGTGCAAGTTGCAACACAACAGGAACAAGTTGCAACACAATGGAAACAAGCCGCAACACAACGGAAACAAGCCGCAACACAACGGAAATAAGCCGCAACACAATGGAAACAAGTCGTAACACAATGGAAACAAGTCGTAGCATAACGGAAACAAGCGCAACACAACGGAAACAAGCCGCAACACAACGGAAACAAGCTCAACACAACGGAAACAAGTCGCAACACAACGGAAACAAGTCGCCAAGTCGCAAAAAACTTAATATCATCATCAGTAGCTTATAAGTGATTTGTTGTCATGTAAAATCCAAACTGTGTATACATAAATACAAACTGAACTTTAAATATGATTTTTATATTTTTTTGTTAGGAGAAACTAGAATATTCTTAAAAATTAGGAACAACAATTCATATAAAAAATAAATTAAGTTTTAAAAAGTACCCTTTAAAATGTTTAGAGCATTTTTTAAGATCCTGTCCTTTACGGAAAATACCCAAATGTAATCAAACATGTGATGTTAAACATGGTAATGTGTATCACTACTAGATGTGCCAATAAAATACAAAATGTTCATAAGGTATCACTGGATGTAAGCCAGACACTGCAACATGTTTTCTGTGCGCTGATGTTTCCTGGCAGATGGCAGACCCACCGCTGGCATCAGTGCATTCTGGTAGCTGATTCGGTGAGGCAGGCTGTGGGTGGGCCCGCAGAGGCATGCGGTATTGGCCTAGAGACAAGAGGTATGTGACAGATTAGGATCTCTGTATGATTTAAACTTTTATTAGGAAAGTTCTCCAAAACTGGGGTTACTGTAGGACGATAACTTATCTAAGAGATTCAGAGGGGCTTCTTTGCTGCCTGAAGGTTTATTTCCTTGCAATTTTCCCCATACTCATATTAGCAAACATGAGCAGAATGATTATCTATGTCAATTTTTGGTAAAATCAATCTTAAATTATTTAGTGGAACAATTTGCACAAGATGGTTTTACGAACGTTTTACACTCATTTGTTCTGCTCCTCATTGAGAACGAATGAGGCCCAGTATTTTACAGCAGGCTCCAAAATGTATTTGTACTAGGGATGTGCATCTCATGACTCAGGCCGATACGATACGCATCTCGATGCATAGCTAACGATACATTAAAGATACATATGAAGCAGCTACCGATCCGATGCGATGCGATATGATTCACCCCTGTTACGATTGCAGTGAGATCCGATTTTGGAATGGGGTATGAGTGGTTATGAACGAATGAATGAAACGCATTTGTCCATGTTTCACTCCGTCTCGAATTGCGCTCGCGGAAAGCGCTCGAGAAACAGTCTCTTTCGCTGCTCGGTACACTTTCAGCTCGTTTTTTAGTCTCGAGCAAGACTGTACAACGTTCACATTTCATGATTTGACAGATTTTTACATAGAAAGGGTGACAGCGCACCGCATTAAAAGGTGCAAGTTGCAACACAACAGGAACAAGTTGCAACACAATGGAAACAAGCCGCAACACAACGGAAACAAGCCGCAACACAACGGAAATAAGCCGCAACACAATGGAAACAAGTCGTAACACAATGGAAACAAGTCGTAGCATAACGGAAACAAGCGCAACACAACGGAAACAAGCCGCAACACAACAGAAACAAGTTCCAACACAACGGAAACAAGTCGCAACACAACGGAAACAAGCCGCAACACAACGGAAACAAGCCGCAACACAACGGAAACAAGCCGCAACATAATGGAAACAAGCTCAACACAACGGAAACAAGTTGCAACACAACGGAAACAAGCCGCAACACAATGGAAACAAGCTCAACACAACGGAAACAAGCCGCAACACAATGGAAACAAGCTCAACACAACGGAAACAAGCCGCAACACAATGGAAACAAGCTCAACACAACGGAAACAAGCCGCAACACAATGGAAACAAGCTCAACACAACGGAAACAAGTCGCAACACAACGGAAACAAGCCGCAACACAATGGAAACAAGCTCAACACAACGGAAACAAGCCGCAACACAATGGAAACAAGCTCAACACAACGGAAACAAGCCGCAACACAATGGAAACAAGCTCAACACAACGGAAACAAGCCGCAACACAATGGAAACAAGCTCAACACAACGGAAACAAGCCGCAACACAACAGAAACAAGTCGCAACACAATGGAAAAAAATCGCAACACAACGGAAAGAAGCCGCATCACAATGGAAACAAGCTGCAACACAACAAAATTTGTCGTATGCATTGTGTTGTGGTGATTTTATTGTGTTGTGGAGATTTCATTGGGTTGTGCACTGCTTGGCCACTATATTTAAGGGATAGTTCACTCAAAAATGACAATCTGTCAAAAGTGTCCAAAAATGGTATTTTACTTAGAGCACTATAGCTATTATTTAACATATTTTTCCTCTCTGTCATGTTTTCAGAGGTAACGTGTGTACGTGTGTTGGATTCTCCAGCAGATATGACAGACTGTGTGAGGTGGGTTGGACTGATGCCCGTCCCGGTGAGGGAATGCCGGAATGCCGTAAGAGATGAATGTAGCTTCACGTCCTGGAGCAGATTCAGCCTGTGTCAAGGTTGTGGAAGTTGGCGCACTCGTTCCCGATCTCTGATAGGTAACATGTTCAACCATAAACTATTCTAATTATCAAAATGTTTTCCGAAAGCACACGCACCATCCAAGGTCCTCTTTCATTCAAACTCTCAGGTCGTAGTAAGAAGCACTGGAGATGCCAACAGGAGGAGTCGTTTCCTCTGATGGAGAAAGAAGCCTGTCCTTGTTCTGAATATCACACCCAGCCTCAGGGTCCCTGGTCTCCTTGTTTGCTCTCACCAGCAAAGAACATTGCTGGCCATCCTTTCATCCAAGGAGTTTCCCACCAAAGCCAAAAAGCAGTCCAGGGCTGGCGAGCTCAGAGGAAGAACAGCGAGTGTGGGCACGGAAAGCGTTTCAGAGCTCTTGCCTGTCTAGATCACATGGGACGATTGGTGGAGCCAGCTCTCTGCAGCAGCCCTGGTGATGCTTTCTTTCAAAAATCTATAATAAAATTATTTTTAATGAAGAATATATATATATATATATATATATATATATATATATATATATATATATAT